CACTGCTGGATAAAATCTTTACATTGTAGGAAGTGAAGGTCACCCTCTACAAGATTATTCTACACATGATCCCTAAGGTTTTCCTTCTGAATAGATGTTTTTAATGTTACTTGTCCTCGCCTCCCTCTTCAATCAGTAATAAAATGGAAACTCAACTGTGAATGTTCATTTCAGTTGAGGAACACAGAGTGTGGGGAAAAAAAAAAGACGTTAGAAAACTGTGCTAAACTTACTGCATTTCCCAAAAGCAAAAAGGTGATGAAACTGGTTCATGGGTTTCTAATCTTCATGCCTTTTTGTGTCTCCGTTATCACACTGTTGACTATGGATGACATTTGGATACCATTGAAGCCAATCGGAACTTTGCCCTTGACTTTAATGGGGCTAAAAAGTTACCTGTACATCTCACTATGCCATATGCAGCTTTCAGTATATTGTATTTAGGCTTAAGAAACAGCATTTAAAAAATGCCCATGGTACTGTACTGATCATTTTCCACCAGTGAAGCCCATACACAATTTACAAACTTACAAGTGAAATCATCATTGGATATACCACTTGCTGATGTTTTACATTGTTTAGGTGCTATAGTTTGAAACACAAAGAACCCTGAATTTCTGTATCATCTGCCCTCATCTGACTAAACAGTGTTAGTTGATTGAACTCAGTAGCCATTGGGAAAAAAAATTCCTATACAACATACAATTTGGTATAATTCACCACAATCTTTAGTATCATTCATACAATCTCAAGATTCCACAATCTTGTCAGAAGTCTAGACTTAAGCTAACAGTGAGTACCATTCTTAAGAAAAGTCGTCTATCTACATCATAAGTAAAAAAGGTAGAAAAGTAAAAAAGATAGACTTGAACCACTCTTCTCCATGCATTTCATCTGTATTCATTATGTATAAAGTTGCAGCTTAAGTACAGCTCTGCAGGGTTCCATTTCTGGATAAGGCTGCTACCTTTTTGGTGGAGAAAACCACTCAGACAACTATAATTATACTGTATTGCCTTAGAGCCAGATCCTGAGTTCTGCAGTTCTATAATAGAATAGTGCTGGTGTTTGAATCCACATGGTTATTCCATCTTCTAAAATCTGTACACATCTCAACTTCCTCGCACCCTCTGTAAGCACTAAACATAAATACTTAGAGATCTAAGGGAAGTATTGGATAGAGGGAAGAAGGTCAAATTAGGGGGAAAGTCTAGATAATCTACAGACCTCCCAACAAAAGTGTTTCTCCAACCTGTTTGTGGCACAAATTACAATAAGTTATGCCTGAGGTATTCTCCTTCTTCTCCACCCCTTAAGATTCAGTACAGAGCAATAAAAGTATTAAATATGCTTCATCACATGTTCATGAAGTGGAAATAACAGGGGAGGGTCCAACAGGGAACACAGTGATAAACAGGAGCACAACCAAGGTCATACAAAAAAAACAACATGGGGGAAAAACATCGGAGATATCATCTAAAAGTGGAGAGGGAGGATCTGAGATAGTTCTTGAAGCAACTAGATCCTTGTGTTAAACCCTGGCTCAGGGAAACTGCTCTTCTGTAGTTGTTTAGAATGAGTCTCTTATGGGAAAAGAAACTGTTTAATTGCTGTTTTAGGGCCTGATCCAAAGCTCAGAGAAATCGATACAAATCTTTACATAAATTTTTGTCCTAACACATTAACTATATGTAACTAAAAAGATATGAGATGTGGATTTCTACCAAAACATAGCTACATGTCAGAATGTTTTACGTGGTTTTGCACTGGAAATTATACAATAGAAAACAAACATGTAACTATACCATTTCAACACATCCTCTAGATCAAAGCAGAGCTGATGTTTTTAATTTTAGCTTTTTTTGAGGTTTTGTTTTTATAAGTTGCTGAATTTATTTAGTAACCTCTAGTTAAAAAAAAAACAAACAACAAAAACACTTCATCCAAAAGCTAGCAATTACATTTATCAAGATAATAAAAACTGGAATGACACCATTTTTCAAAAAGGAGAAAAAAATTAAGACCTACACACAGGCATATATCTTTATATTTTTCTATATATATATGAGGTTAGTGACTGCTGAACCACAGACCACATGCAGAAGGGTGAAAACCACCCACAACCAGATGTGCTATTGTAAATCTCAGATCCTGAGATAATGTATTCCATGAGCTCTCCAGTGCTGAGATTCGGGAGAGTACAAGTTTTCCTTACACTTGGTTCCAGCAATGTGGATCCTCGATAAGGATCCAGTCCAAATGCTTTTGTCCTGCCAAAATAAATGCATAATCCAGTTCTCATGGCAAGATTTGACCCTTGGGAAGCACAACCATGGTTTAATGAACTGAAGGCACATCAAACTGAATGAAGTTATGAATAATGTTGGATTTATTATTAAAGGCTCTGGTAACAGATAAATCCATTAAAATAGGGCTACTTGGTTATAAACTGCAAAAAAGTGGTGAGCACATCTGTATTCAAAGGAGTGCATCACTTTGCAGTTGATTAAAACCTACAGATGACCAAAAGAATGCCATCCCTTTCCACTAAGGTGTTATTTAAATGCAAGATGAAACAGCTGTATTTGAAGTCCACAGAAGAAAAGCATAGAAACAGGCCACTGTAGCAATCACCCACTTAGCTGCTGTGCCCACACCTGAACAAAAAACACAATTCAGAAATTTCTTTTAGGCTGCAAAGATCAAACAAAGAGGGTGGAAAGAAAGCTATCTCCACATACATAAAATAAAGATGGTGATGTTTTTATAGCTTTTTCCACCAACAAAAAGTCTAGCTAAGCCCCTTGGTGCATCAGAATATCCCATTGGTTGGACACAGTGGGTTGCTACTCAGGGTTGCAAGAGCCATTTGTTTACTCAGGCTTTTGTCTCTCAGATTAGTTTGAAAAGTGTTGCTTTGAGAGTTCAAATATTTTGCTGGGGGTTTCTTTAGAGTTACCATAATTTGTTATTGTGTCAGTTTAGAAGCTTTAATTTGTGGTTTTGCATGTTGCATAACCGTACCGGGAGGTGGTGAGAGGCCCACATGAGGAGTTCAAAAATAAGTCTAACAATACAGTAAATATCTGTCCGGTAATTTACCCTGTACTGAGAGCCATGGCATGGCCATGAAGTGATTCAGTCAGGCTAGCAAATGGACATTTATTTAATGCTTTGTGTGCCTTTATGAAGAGCCTAGCATCAGGATTTCCACTTATTTATCAAAGCACTGAATAACTTTGCTTACTGTTGTCACATATGAAGGATGGACCCAGAGCTGGCTCGTGAACACAGTGCTTGAATAGGTCATTCTGGAATAGTCTATTCTGGAACAGATTAAAACGAATGAAGACCATACTGCACATAGGACCGTTTCAAAACCAGTTACATAAACATACATTCTTATGAGGCATTTAAGTTTTATTGCCTTCATTTTACAATCTGAGGCACGGAGAAATGTGCAGCCGAATATTCAGAAACATTCACCAAAGTCTTTGGAAGCTGCAGGTCCTCCACACCCTTGAAAACCAGGCAGCAGCAGGGGCAGAGCCAGGAGCAGTGCAGCGTTGCTCACTTCCACGATGTAGCTCACCGACCGGCAAATCTAGGTCCCTGCGGGCCCAATGCTGAGGTCCCCTGTGGAGTCCAAGGTGTGGCTGGAGCCTTGGGCTGGCATGGCACACCCATGGGAGCCAAGCATGGAGCAGGTGAGGAAGGGGCCCCCCTGCTTGCTGCTCTCCCTGTCTCTGGATGAATTGGGGGGAAGGGGAAGCCCCACAACCACTCGTGCATCACACCGACCAGGGACTGTTGGGAGAAGCTGCATGGGGTGCTGGGCTTGGGCAGCAGCAGTGGGTGGGTCCCAGCTCCCTCCTCCTCCACTGCCTTTCCCCTACCATCCTGGGGGCTCTGGGTGTGGGGAGAGGCTATGCACAGTTCAAGCCAGGGATGGGGTGGTAGACAGTCCCCACTTACAGCACCTACACCTGGTCAGCCAGGGACATCCAGAGGAACTGGGCAGGGAACAAGAGTGCCTGAAATGTGGGTGGGCACCTTGCCTGCTGCCACTGTCCTTCACTAAGCCTGGCACCCTGCTGCCACTCACAAAGGCTTCCAGCTGGAGCAAGGCAGGAGCAGTTCTGGGGCTTCCCCTATGCTGGGTCAGCCAGGGACAGAGGTGGCAGTGAGTGGGTCCCCGGTTCCTATGCCCAGAGACGAACCCCCGGTTAATCCTTTCCAGAGAGGAGGAGAGGGAAAGTGTCACTGAGTGTGGGAGGGGCTGCTGAGAACACATGGGCTGGGGGGGAGTCGTAACTGCTTCTGGAACAAAAAAGTCACCTGCAGCTGCTGGTCTGTGTTCCAGGGAGAGGGGGGCAGAGATAGGTGGGCTGCAACCACCCCGGTGTGCTGGTGGCATCTCCCATAGCCCCCCTTTTTGAATTCCTAAATCTGCCTGTGAGCACCAGACATCTCAAGTTGATGATCAGACAAAAGCTGAAAAAGTCAGAATTAGGCTTAAATATTGAAAGTGCTCACTGAGTGAAGGCAAGGTCTGGGTAGAGAACCCACTGCTGACTGTAGGTAAATCTACACTGCAGCACCTGCTGTGACCAGTGCAGACAAACCCAGAAGTTAGCCCCAGTGGTACAGAGTCCAACACCGCCTATATCACCTGCCTGAGATCCCTGATGAATGCTGTCAGGGTTAGCCTACCCGAAACTTCACACTGCTGTAACTAGACCACCGGTAGCTCATAAATCAGCTAGTTTAAAGCTAGGTAACATTTGTCTACATTACAGTGGGACATGATTCCCACTGCCCCACCCCTCAGTATGCACTAGCTTTATAGGGAACACCAGTTGTCTGAGATATTTGTATTAGTGTTCCTCTGAATCACGGAATGACTTTTTTGAACATTATTCTAAGTGCTATCTCTGTCTCTCTAAATTACTTGATGTGAGTATCCAACCTGCCTTCTAGGTAATTTTGATTTAATGAGAATGTATGTACAGCACGAAGTAAGTGCTCTCCTGCCACTTCAGCTAAAATTTGATCATATAATGATCTGGTCACTTGATCACATCCATGATCAAATTTAAAAATATGTGTATACTTTTAACCCCTGCTCAGATGCACAAGTCAGCAAGAAGTGATCTAAACGTCATAACGCTTAGGTACTACGCTCATAAGGAGCCGGAGTTACCTAGATAAATAGCAAAGTTTCAGGGGGGGTGGAGACAGCAGTTTTTCCCCCAGAAAAGATGGGGAAAGATGGCCATGAAATGACGGCACTGGATGAGATTCAGAAAGTCTAAATTCCACTCCTTGCTCAGCAAGTCGTTGCACAGCTCGGTGCCACTTCACAGACGGGAAAGGAGGCAACAACAGGAGTTTCTTTCTGTTTACACTGAGCTCTTTGGGGCAAGGTCCTGCTACGGTCACTGCAGCCGGGTGACAGGGCACGGGCACTGGCACACGCTCAGCCCTTCTTCCCTCCGGCCTCGCGCTGGAGCCCACCCAACTGGCCAGCGGTGCCGAGCTGGCAGGTGCCGGCACAGCCGAGGAGGACACAGCCCAGCTCCCCGCGGCGGGGCTGCTCCAAGGCAGAACTTTTACCCGGGGACGCAATCACCCCCCTGCCTCGCCCAGGGATGCCCGGGCCACCCCAGGACACGCGGGAGCCTCAGGTGTCCCGTGCAGGGGGTGAGCCGGTCCCTGGGGCCGTGCCCCGAGGCCAGGTGAGGGGGAAGGGGGGGAGCGGCCCCGGCTTATGTAAGCCAGGAGCGGGGAGCGGCCGCTTTGCCCGGGCGC